CCAGCAATGAACCTCACCGCATGTCACTCCAATTCAATATGGCGGATGCTGTAACATATCGCAGCAACGCGCCTCCATGAGGCGTCTACGTATTCATGTCTATGCCCTCCAATGCGCCGTGCACGCGCTCTCACGCGCCCAAGTGACAGCAGGACCCGTTTCCTCATTAAGGATCGATGCTGCTGGAGTTTCGTCCTTCTTCCTTCTGATCAGTTCAGGCAGGTAAGCGTCATTAGGTGGGCCTCTCAGTCTGCCTCAGAGCGCAGTTGAACAGAATAATGACATTTATGCTGCTGATGAGCTTGATACGCAGCCACACTCTTTTATAGTTTATTCACAACATCTTCCAGGACACTGTAAAATAGAAATTGTATAAATATTTATATTTCAAAATAAAATTCCCTCCAGCTGGAGACAAATGGATGCAATTTGTTTTATTTTCTTTCCATTTTATGGTTTTGTGCTGTCCACAATGGTATATTTTGATGATAAACAAGGTAAATATTATGACCAAAGGCTATTTCATATTCAAGAAGAGCGCAGCAATGGAAATCAGCCCTTTTATTTGATCAGATTCCCTTTTATGATGTGAAAAACACATTTGGCTCAGTCTGGAGAAAAAAAAAAGCAAAGACGTCTTTGGAGAAGTTGCAAGAGCAAAATCTAATGTGTTACTTCTGTGTAGAAAGTTTCATAGTAAAAGGCGTATTCTTATATTTAATTTATTCAAATAAGGCGTATCTTTGCTCATCCAATCCAGGAGCTATCTCTGACCCTCTCTAAAGCCAGGAACTCCTACCGTGTTTACGGCTTTTCACAGATGAGTGTGAAAAGCTAGAACTTCTATATTGTTTTCCCACACAGACAAAAGGCAGTTCAAACCATCTGCTGTAACATAAAGGTCAATAGGCCAGAATACGTTACTGATTTTTAAAACCACAATTTAGGCCATTTGAATCAAGACATGTTAAGTTTTAAAACTAGATTATCTTAAATTTATTTTCTTAACACCCACAAACGTAAAATAACAGCTTGTCAAACTGAAACCAAAGTCATCTTCTGCTGTCTTAAAACAACCATCCACCAAAATGTTATATCTACTCATGTGAAGATCATTTTTAGATCTTTGCAATTCCATCAATTTTGGAAGTATATTTGCTGCTGTTTTTAAACAGTGTTTGTTTGAGACGGTACAGCTACAGCTGTCATAGAAAGCACCACACTCAGAGGTTTTTGTAAGTGGCTAATCTACTGGTACAGGGCCAAAAGTATAATATTTTACTTTTTAATCCTTTAATAAAGTGATTTACACAAACAGGTTTCAAAGTTTGCTGTAACAAGCCAAAGCTCAGTTTTTATTTGTTCAATCGTTGCCTGCGCATACATCTTTAAGACGCAAAATGCAAATTGTATAACATAGGAGAGCAAGAAAAGTGGTTGAATGAGTAAAACAGCAACGTTCAACCAAGGCTTATTCATTATCTCGTCGCTTCACTGTCTTCTTGATCCAGTCAAGGTGATCTTTGGTGAGGAAAGCGTACACCCCAGGTTTGGTTTTGAGTCCGCACTTATATCCATAAGACGTAACTCCAACTAGAGCTCCATTGCACAGTAATGGCCCACCAGAATCCCCCTACAGAGAGAAGAAATATTTAAAATGAATTTTTGTGAAAATCACAGCATTTTAAATTGCGTAAATGGCTGGTAGGTCACTTACCTGACAACTGTCAGCTTGGATGTTCCCATTCCACCCAGCACAAATCATGTTGTCAGTTATGGTATGATTGTAAAAAGCCGGTGAGCTGCACTTCTCTCTGCAAACCACAGTCACATTGACTGACATCAAAACATCTGACACAGCTGCATTCCAGCTGGTTCTTCCCCATCCAGCCACCATACAGACTGAACCTTCTTCTGGGTCTTTGACAACTGTAGTCAGCTTGAGAGGTTTCACCCATTTGGTTTGCTTCACTGCCTTTTCCAGCTGGAAAGTAAAAATCACACTTATTGTATTATATATATATATATATATATATATATATATATATATATATATATATATATATATATATATATATATATATATATATGTGTGTGTGTGTGTGTGTGTGTGTGTGTGTGTGTGTATAATAGCATAGATAAAACATTAAACGTTTGTTCAAATATTGTTAAATATTAAATACACAATTTACAAAGTATAGTGAGAAGGAACCCCTGAATGAACAATTTTAATAAAAGAAACCAGAAAATAATTGAAAGGAAATGTTTCAATACATCAGTAAGTAAATGATAACCAATAATCAAGTGAAAGTAAAGTTAATTGTGAAATATAAATATATGTAGAGTCTTAATCTTTAATATTTTCCCAGTGAATGAAATTTTATGTTGACCAGACAAAATCATTAATTTTGCAAAGCAAACTTACCTTGAGCAACATGAAGTCATTGTCAAAGGTTTTGTTATTAAAACTAGGGTGAGGAAAACTTTTCTTCACTCCAAAGACCTGCCTGTATGGTTTTTCCTTTTCCTTGTTCTTGATGGAGTGCACTCCCAACATCACAGTCTTCATGCTGAGAGAGCAATAACATAGTGCCAGAAAGGAACTTAAGATCTAACAGATTAGAGCTTGCATAATAATGAGATATTGATGGTTTACTATGTAAATTTAGTTGTAAATTCAATTTAACATTCTTTCTATTATTACTGCTGAATACGAAGACTGATGAATTACACATCCTCTTTAATATTTTTTTCATCACAATTGGTATGGTGAAGTTGTAACCTATCTTAACTATACTTTTGAGTAATGAAGGATAAATCTGAATTTATACAAAACACAATAAAACCTATTTTGCGTTCTTGTTTGTCAGATCAGCATGTTGTAGGTTCTATCTTTTCCTCTATCTCCTTTAGCCTCTTTTAACTGCTTACACACACGCTGCAGCTTACATAACCATGTCTAGATTTCCTTTGTGGCATGACTAGCTGCTGCGGTAACTTAGAATGTGCAGTATGAATACCAATACCAGTCAATGTAGCAACACATTATATTCTTTATTTTTAATGCTACTTGAAATGCACGCCAAATGCATATAAATAAGAAAAATGAGAATTGTTCTTACCCCTCGCAGTGCGCAGCAGTCAGAACCCACTTGGAATTAATTAATGTTCCTCCGCAATCTGGTTTATGAATCTCCAGCAGAGCCATGAAAGGCAAGGAGTGTGGCTTCACTTCTTTCCCATTGACAATCTCAGAACCATGACCTGACACAGGAAGATATCCAGATACAAATTTTCACACAACAGCATCAAAGGAGACCCTTGATTAAGGGAAAAAATTATGAACAAGAGAATGATAGTATTTAGCAAAATATTACTCACTGGATTTGGCAATAAGGAAAACGGCACCAAGGATGAAAGCAACAAACCCCAACATTTTCTCCTGTCAGTGTCTTTGATCTGCAGACGAATGTGCCCTTCACTCTGCTCTTCCTGCTTTTTATATGTTATCTCTAAGGGTGTGGTCTGACCACTAAAATGCCTTTTTAAGTAAAAAAATATGTGATCATGAAATTGTGATTCTTTTGCCACACCCAGTATCAAAAAAAGTTACTGCATGTGGAGCTCAGACCTTGCTGGGACAATTTTAACTTCTTTTGGTCTCTTAGAAGCCGTCTGAGCACAACCAGTTGGGATCCCTTTTCCAGTGTGGGTTCCAGTATATGCCAGAGAATGACCACTCAAGTCCGAAATTAAAACTCAAATTGTTTCTAAGTTGCAACAGAAAAAGACCTCTGGTTCTGATAAGATTTAATCCTTGAGATGAGGCCTGTGTGGCCACTCCACTTTAAGATCCTTCATTACCAGTCGGTCTGTGTGGAGCCCTCGCCATGGATATCTTACCAATGCATGAACCAGTGATGGAGAAAGTACTCAAACAATGTACTTTAGTAAAAGTACAAGTAAGCAGACAAAAATGTACTCTAGTAAAACCATTGGCATCAACCAGGATCTATCTCGATATTGTGCCACTGTGACCAGTATGACCTTGGTGCAAAAGTTAAGTGCATTCTCAATGCCATCTAAAGACTGGAGCTTTAAAAAGAGTAAGGAAAGATAATTCAAGAGAAATGAGGTTGGGAGAAATTGGTCAAAGAAACACAACTTGGAATTCAAATCAAGGGCAGAATAATCAGAGACAAATCTTGCTACCAACAACAAATATACAAAAAGCATGCTCGCATAAATGTAGAAGGGATGAAAATTCAATGGTGGTGAAAAATGAAAACTTTGTAGTATTTATGTGCCATATTATCAATGTTACAGTACAAATGAAGAAGAAAAGTGATCAAATAAAAGCCATCGTAACAGCAGCAGGAAGCTTTTTAGATATGAAAGAAATCCAAGCTGATCGGATCCATACCATTTTGAGTGCCACTGAAACAACAGAAAATGCTCAGGATTAGGATTCAAGCTTTTATAATGGTTCTACATATTCTTCACTGGAATGCTAGAAGTTTAATAGCCAATGGACAAGAATTTAAAAAGTTTGTTTATGATTTAGAAATAATCCCAGATATATGTATTCAAGAAACGTGGTTGAAACCTAACCTAGATTTTAAAATTCCCAGATATAGTATAGAAAGAACAAAGAATGCCATGTTTGGGTTGTGCATGCATTAGCTGCTTACACAGCTCAATCAACATTCTCCGAGCAACTACCACCCTTCCCTTGACGTCAGGCGCATACAGTTAATTGCTAATTTTTAATTCCCTAGAACAACATCGAACATCGTGTATTCTTGAACTTCCTTTTTCTTGAAATACCTTGCTGATGTTATCAACACTCGCGCTTCTGCTCATCTGCAGCCATCGCCCATATTTCCATAACATTTCCTGTTTCTTCTATGACCACAGTTCTTCCTCCTATTCGGCTTCTAGTTGTGACACAGTATAAGAGACTTTTACACTTAACTTGTAGTCATTACTTTTATCTATTTAGGCCCGAGCAGCTAAGCGCTGCGAGAGCCTATTGAAACTGTACTGTTTATTATTCTTCTTCACTATTATTCTTCCGCCAAATAAAATGGCTTTTTGGGGGCTTTATCATATTCAAAAACTCACCAAACTTGGCGGACGCATCAGGTCTGCGTGAAAATTACGTATTTTAAGGTCCCCAGAAAAATCGCACAAGAAACGGCTCAAGGGCGCCACCTAGCAACTTTCAAAAGACCCTTTCCTATTCACTTACTTTATCGTAGAGACTTGAAACTTGGTACACTTGTAGAGCTCCCCAAAACACTCAGAATTTACAATTAATGTCATAGTGCAAGTATCACAGATTGTCGGCCATTTTGGATTAAAGTTCCGATTTTGACCCGATTTTGGGCGTTTGCAGGGTTCGCATTTGATCGAACTTGTCCTAGGGATTTCGATCGATCGGCTTCAAACTCGGTAAGATCGTTCATAAGGCATGGCCGATCCAAAGTTATCGTAGGTTTGCGTTTTCGGGCTTGCTGAAGGGGTCTTTCCGGGGGTCAAAGGTCACCGATTCGCCATGAAACATCAAATTTGATGTTTCNCGTATTTTAAGGTCCCCGGAAAAATCGCAATAGAAACGGCTCAGTGGCGCCACCTAGCAACTTTCAAAAGACCCTTTCCTATTCACTTACTTTATCGTAGAGAGTTGAAACTTGGTACACTTGTAGAGCTCCCCAAGACACTCTGAATTTACAATTAATGTCATAGTGCAAGTATCACAGATTGTCGGCCATTTTGGATTGAAGTTCCGATTTTGACCCGATTTTGGCCGTTTACAGGGTTCGCATTTGATCGAACTTGTCCTAGGGATTTCGATCGATCGGCTTCAAACTCGGTCAGATCGTTCATAAGGCATGGCCGATCCAAAGTTATCGTAGGTTTGCGTTTTCGGGCTTGCTGAAGGGGTCTTTCCGGGGGTCAAAGGTCACCGATTCGCCATGAAACATCAAACTGTTATAACTCTTTGAAAAAAACTCCCAGAGGCACCAAACTTTCAGTGATTGATCATCATGGGATGCTCTCCAATACCCAACGGTCAAATGATGACGTCACTTAGGCCACGC